CCATATCTATGATAATTATACCAATTATACCATAAATACCAAAAGCATTCACTGCTGTGTCAATAAAGCTGCCATTCAGAACTGGTTCAGTTCATATATAATGCCATCTGATGCAAAGATGCATGACACAGGACACAAGGAAAAATAGCAATTTCCCAAATTCTTCCCATACATCAAAATTCTATCCATTTGAGAAGTTAAGACTGCAAAGCTACATAAGGAGCTTTTTGTCTTGCATGTCTGCCTCCAGTTATGTAGTAAGGCCAGCCTTGCAAGTCTTGATATTTTCCAGGGAGTGGTACCACTTTTTAAAAAATTGGTTTCAGACTATTCACAATCTCAGAGAAGCATCACTGTATTCATATTTAAAGGTAAAGATAACAAATACATTTAAAGGCTAACTACTCTGACAGAAAAGCTTAAGTACAAGTCAAGCTACAGAGTGAATACCAAGGAGACAGCAGAGCTACGCTCTGTAAAGTTTTTGAAATCTATGAAAAGCAGAGGAAGGAATGGATAAATTATAACTAAAACACTGACAGATATTGAAAGAAAAGAAATCCATATAAGGACAGAAGAACCTGAAGAACCTGAGAAGATAATAAACAGGGGAGGAAAGGATAGTTATTTTTGTTTCTGGAGTTCCCTGAGAGATTTAAGACTTTTTTCTTCCCTGACAGGGTTACAAAATGGATGACCTGTTAACATCCTACGTACGCCTGCTCATGAATGCTGTAAACAAGCAAAAGAACCTCCCAGCCTGAGAGTGGAAATAGAGCCCATGACCTGTACTTGTGCCAAACTACCTGTAACTTCATATCCCAGAAGAAATGTCATTTTAAAAAAATGTTAATCTTGTTGATCAATCTTCTGAACACACACCGAATGCACTGAGTTGCTGAAATACTAGTGCAGGAGAAACTCAAGTGAGCATGTGCTTTCAACTATCTGTAACACTTCTGTCTTAGATGTAGTATGAGAACTCCATTCAGATACTGGATTTAGAGAAAGTTTAGATGGACTTTAGTGTTCTAGGGGAGTGCAGAAACCCTGTGAGGGCCCCTTCCAATAGCCTGAATCTCCTCCATTCAAAGACAGACACACATGAAGAGCTGCCTTCCTTTTGGAAAGAAAATGCCCCTTATTGCATATGTTCTTCCTAAATGTACAAACTCCAAGAGTCTTTGCAAACAAAGGTAATTTTTTTCCACCTGTTGGCAATTCTAGGAGTGGAGAAATGCCCTTTAGTAGTAGATAACTAGACAGTTTGAAAGGTAAGATGTTGTCCCCTGACTTACCACAGCCTTGATTAGATTAGTCTTCTTTCTTCCACATGTTATAATGGTCTCGGAAACTAACAACCACTTTGTACTGTGCAGTTTCTAGTAAGTTCTGAAATGAGTCTGGGGTTTGGGGTCATCACGTTTAGTTGTTTCTATTTCAAGATATAGATGAGCTATTCAGGGCAAATCAGAACTGAAGAACTCAGTCTAACAGAGGTCTGTTGAAAAGAGACTTTTCTGCTCCACGAGAATGTTCTGTTTGGAGTTATGCAGACATTCCCTCACGAGACAGGAATAATAGCTTTAATTTGTCCTGAACTCTTCTGCTTTCTGTTTAGCAGACAGCTTGAGTGGTAAAATTTGATTCAGCACTTGTTCATCTCTAAGAGCTTTGTAGAAACACGGCTTTGGTGCCACAGGAACCAGAGTGTGCTCTGAGTGTGTAAAGCAGATACAGACTATGGTGGGAGCAAGCTGAGCTGCTTCCCCCTCAGATCAAGCATTCCTCCCTCACTCCCAGTGAAACATGAACATGTCTTAAAGCATTTACACCAAGTTCCTTGAGACACAACTGGCAGTGCTGGAAAGGCAGCCCTGCCTGATCTCTCAACTTTGCCAATGGATGCACAATGAATCTCTTGTTGCCTCAGACACGTGTGCGCAAAATTCAAATGCTGGTGGGAGTTTTGTAAATGGTGGCAGGGAAGAGCCCACTCTCTTTGTGCATCTAAATGAGTGCCACACCTGTCAGAATAGCTGATCTTTTTGCAAGCAGTTAGATGCTCCTGCTGTAGTGTCCATTGCTGGCAATGGAAATGCTAGAGTCTAATTACCCAGAGTGGTTTTGTCAACCCAGTGTCTGATCTAACTAACTAGCTATAGATGAGAAATGTTCAACACTTCACCTGTACAAAAAGAAATCTTGCAGCCAAACTGTATTGTTTCTGGTTTTTAAATAAAGACTGCAGAAAATCAACCACAATGTCTTTTTTTTTAACCAAGTGAATGTTTGCTCCAGATCCATGTAACCTAAATCAACCAAATAATCCACCATATCCTGTAAATTATCATAGTATCCCATCTGCTCATTACCTACACGACACAATTTGTACAACACAGCCACTAAAAGGATGATACCCCTTTCTGCACATCCTCATCAACCAACACATCACCACAGAAGCAGCACAGGTCTAAAACATGAATTCACCACAACAGTGCCTCAGGTTTCAGCACTCCCAGGATTCCTCAGAGTGGGCAACAGGCTCTGGCTAGGCACTGAAAATATGGCATTAACTGTACACTGCAGATTTTTTTTCTTTTTTTTGTGTAAAGATTTAAAATGTATTACAGTTAACTTTAATACAAGAACATACAAAGGCACAGTATTACAGCATTTCAATCTACAATCATGTGCTTTGGTTAGACAGCTCAAACAATGTGTGATAAAGTGAGAGCTCTACACAGTGCAGAACCCATCAAGGCCTGAACCAAGATAGTGAGCTGCTAATTCTTTTCTCAGTCTAATACCCTCAGCACTTAGCAGTGCTTTACAGGCTAGTAGGACCATCTTTATTACATGCTTGCCTGCAATCTATTCCTTCCCCAACCAATCACTTCTGAAAGAGTGTCAGTCATATCATCTAGTACCAGCCATGCCACATCAGGAATTCTCTCTACAAAAGGCTGACCAGTGTTTGCCAGCACTGCACAGACTCCTGTAAAAACACCGGGACACAAATCTAGAGAGAGGATTAGAGCCATAAAGAAGCACTGCAAGTGATTAGCATACCCATGAAAACAAGCCTCACACACCATGCTTTCTAAAAGCAAAACCATTTTCAAGTGTACTCAGTGAGTGTTACTGATTTTAATTAGGTATAAATATGAATTAGGTATAAATATAAGTGTATAGTATGAGACATCTTCTATTAAGTGTAGATTTCTGAGCCAAGCTCAACCTTCATATAAATCTCTATTCTCCAGTGGTGTGATGCTTAGGAAGAATTTGGTCAGCAGGTCTATTTACAGCAATGGAAAAAAGCATGCAGCTTACTTCTTACTGACACCTTGACTAAATTAAAAGGAAAACAAAACCCAACCTGTCAGCCTACCAAGGCACTAGGGAGAACTTGTGAGTTTGCACTATATTCTACTTGGTTTTAAAAAAGCAGACTGACAGAAGTAGAGGAAGATGCATTTTTTAGAGCCATTTATAGTTATTTCTCCTACTCCTTCAACTCCACTCTCACCAAAAAGATGTATTGGTAACAAACTACTTTCACTCTGTGCATTGCAGGCTATGGGCACCAGAAGTGTGAAAAGAATTATTGTGAAAAATTAATAATTTAAGAGAATATCACCCTCCATTAGTATAGAGACCAGGGATTACAATTATTTTGTTCATAACTAATTTTGCAAGATGTCCCAGAGATAAGGACATAGTCCAAATCCTAGAGAACTGAAGAGCTTATCAAAGAGAATGATATCACCTCTTCTTAGAACTCTGAAGCTTTCTTGGTCTGCCAAATCTCTAACACGAGATAAGATGAAAGCACCCATTAAACTTCACTGGCAGCACAGAAATAATGCCATTCACATACATGCATTTTCCATTGCTGAATGTGAGTGGCTGCTGAGAGAATATTATCTATTGGCTGCTAGTTACTTAGTCCTCCCATATTTACCAGGAATGTGTGGCTGTGTGTTCCTCCACCACTTCCCAGGAGGCTGGGGATACACAGCTGCTCAGATTCAGCATTACACAGGGCCTGTGACTGAGATTAGAGCAACAGACTGGAATGTTTTATGCTGAGAAGAATCTGCATGTTATGCAGAGCTGAGCTGCACCTAGGTCAGAATTCAAGTGTTTTATGCTGTGACAAAATGCCAAACAGGTTTGACTGTAAAAGAGGGTCTTTGCAGGGCCACACCACTGCACCAAAAGACATGCTGTTCTTTGTGCCCTTAACTAAAAGGCCATTTTAAGGCTGATGAGAGAACAGTGAATAGACACGTGCTCTCCTAAAGCAGTGGCACAAGCAGCTACTGTTACTGGAATCTACAGTGCAAACTGGTCAGGAGAAGATGAAAGAGTTTACTGCTAAAATTAGACCTATCCCCTCAGCATTGTTAGAGTGGATCCAGCATAACCCAGTTAAAAGATGATGTTAACTTACAGCAACAAAAAGCAAAGCAGCTGAGGGAAATGAGTTAGCAAAGGCAGTGAAGTTCTAAGAGATGGCCTCACATGTGGGATTCTGATCACTTATCCAGGAATTCCTACCACTGCTTTGCTATCCCTGGTGCAGTTCCATGGGTATTGATCCAGCAAGCACAATAACACAGTTCTAAGGTATTACCCCAATCCAGTTGCTGCTAACACACACAAGAAGTGGGGAAGCTTTAACTTCTTGCTACCAAATTCACCTGTGGCTGCAGGGTGCTGTCTTGGCCCAACTGCTGTGTTCATCTGACTGACTAAACCAGCCACTTTTTGGAAGATTTGAATAATGCAAAGGACAGTAGTCCTCCAGTGCTTGTCAGCCTTGCAAAGGGGCAGGCACAGTCTCACAACTGTTCATGGGAAGGGATTTTCAGGCTGCTCAGCTTAGTTCAGCACAAGGAAGTATGGGGGTCACCTCTGGGGGACTCAGAAGCTCACTGGGATCATACATAGTGCAGGTGAGCTCAGGAACAGCGCTGCTGATGGCTTCACCTCTAAAGAAGTATTGAGAATATCCAAAACCAGTACATTTCTCAGCACGCTGGGATGTGGTAGCAGAGACAGTAGGACCAGTGAAACCTCACTGGTGACAGGCAAAATTTCAGAGGAGGACTATATGCTTGAGATGTTAGCATCATGTATGAGATCTCCTGAAGTAAACTCAGGTCTCTAAAAGAAAGATGAATGGGACTCTTATTTGGGTAAAAATTTTAAGAAAAATGGGTTTTTCTGTGTAACACATTTGCTACAAAATGTAAACATTAGAAACACCTTCATGTAATTGGGCTTTGTGGAGCATGACCAACAAGCATATATTGGCTGGCAAATAAAGTGAGAATGGGAAAACTGAAATGCTTAAATTGGTACCATATTACTTATTCAATTTCCTTATGCAGAAGAGTAACCAATGCTCCAGCCACACTCCCTCAATAAATATCAGCTATGCCAATGGACAGGACATTGCCCAGCAGAAGCTCTACCAGCCATGTAGTAGTAGAGAACAGAGAAAATGAGTGTCAGTTCTAATAAAATGTTTAGTTTCCTAAAGCCACCTTCTCCTTAAGGAGAGCCCAGCTATTCTGAAGAGGCTCACATGGCCTTGACAGCTGAAATCTCCCTCGTACTGAGCACAGAAGCAGCAAAGGAAACTTCTTAGCTGCCTTAACACTGGGTCTAAGTGGGCAGTGCAGATGCCATAGCTACTGGTTCCTGGGCTTGCCCAGTAAACATACCAACCAGAAGGATTGGGATATGGGATAGGGCACCCATATATTCTCTGTAGGAATCTGGAGAAAGACCAGAACTTTTCACATGTAGTAAAGAATGACAACTTTCAAACTATTTGCCTATATATTAAAAACCCTAAAAACTGCTTCAGTCAGAGTAAGAAGAAAAATTCTGATACTCTGATTGAGAAAGAGCAAACCTGACATTTCTTCCAGCCCTACATTTAACCACTCTTTCCAAATTCCTTGGACTAGAGGAGCGGAAAGAGTAGTACAGCTCAAGTGAAGAAGGAAAGATTGTGTATAGCTCCACAAAGGCAAAATGCAATGTTAGTAGCAAATTAATAATCAGCCTGTGCACTGCTCAAGCAGAACTCATATTCCTCTTCCTGCCAGTGTTAATAGACAATTGCTTGGGAAAAGGGACAGTCTAGATGCAAGAGACATCACCAGAAGCAGGGGAAGGTACTGCTTATCTTTGGTTCCACTTCTTAGTAATTGCTTCTGTAATCAACAGCTGCAGTGAGCAGCAGCTTGTGTTAAGAGTGCAGTCAGGAGACTGACAGACCTGTTTGCTTTAAGCAGAGTTTAAATCTAAAGCTTTAGGATGGATCTTCTTGGATGCGAGCTCTGACAACTTCTTCAGACGTTTCTTCAGCTCCAGAGGGAATTTCTCATAGCATTTCTTGCACACAGGCTTCATGTCAAACTCCACAAATTTATTCCTTTAACACAAAGAAAAGTTATTCAAATGGTATTTGCAAACTGTATGCTTCACTAATTAAAATTTCCATGCATCTACATCAGTGTTGTTGCAAGCATTCTATTCCATTTATAAAACAACTCATTTCCTCATCTGGTGATGCAAGTGTAGAGATTGAGTTCTTACTAGTGAACTGAGGTCTTTAGTACTAAGTAAATAAGGAGCAAGATTTTGCTATGTATTTACATGTAGCAGTCTAAAATTATTATTTTGTTACTGTAGAATACAAGTGTCACTTCAGAGGTCCCCTTTGGGATGAATTAGAGCTCCTTCATATGGCCAGTGGAGCTAACCCAGCAGAGTAGGATAAAGTTTTGAACCTGAGAAGGGAAAAATGTAGGACTGGTTTTTTTTTTTCTGCCCCTCTTCTAGATATTTGAGGTAAATAGAACAGTATTTTATTTCAAAATAATCTATGCAATAGAAAATATTGTTATTGAGGGGGGCAACCACAGTTAAGGAGACATGGAGGCTGCAGGTTACTCAGGACAGGCAGTTCCTCAATGTTCAGAGCCTTCTCTCTGCACTGCTGAATGAGCCCCCCTCTTACCCAACCTCCTTACAGAACAGATTAATGAAGGAAAAGAAATGAGAGAGGATGCTGAGTGTCAGCTCCTTTTCAGTGCAGAAATCAGAGAAATTACAAGGATCTGTTCCCACAGAGGAAAGGTATATTGGCCTTCAGAGAGGCAGAGGCTCATGGCTCTTCCAGGCTGATACCCTTTCTTAGGGGCAAACATTTCACTCACATGGTCCAAAATACAAACACTGACTTACTTCAGTGTGAGCTTGACATTGCAGGTGGAGCAGGAGAAGCAATTCACACACCAGGCCTTGTTAAGAGCTGATACCACTGCAAAAGTAAAAACACCAAGTAAGAGCAAACTGATGGATTGTTTGAATTCAGATTTATGTCCAAATTCAAATGAGGCCAGATGTGAAAACAAACACTGTTGTCTTGCAACTGGGGGACTGCAACAGCTGCACTAACAAATGAAACAAGGACAGCAGCCCAAAACAAGGAGAGAACAAATCTTACCATCTCCCTCTATCACGTGGCTGCAGTTGTAGCAGACATCTCCAAAGAGCTGCACAGAAAAAGAAATAAGAATACAAACTCATGTTGCTGAGTGCTCATGGTCCCCAAATCACACAGCTGGTGTGAACATTAAATACTAATAATCAAAGAATTCCCAGATGCAGCAGTGGCCCCCAAATATACCAATTTAAATCTTCTGAATAACTTCTCATACACTTGCCAAATAGCCTATGTTCCTTTGGATCTCATACCACTAAACACTACAAAACCTTTTTTGTTGATGCCTCACACTCTAGCACTGTTAGGGGATCTTAAAGTCCTGTGGAGAAGAAAGAATGGGTAGAGTATGATGCTTAGCGTAGACAAACACCTCCTGATGCTCAACTACAAACCCCAAAATAGAACTATTGCTAAAATACAGCTACTGTCAGAACAGCAACACTTACCTCTTATGAGTTATTTATCTGACAGAAGAAAATTCCAAACCAAAACATTGTTCAGTCAAATCAGACAGAACAAACAGGGTTTGATTGGTTTTTCTGTTTGTTTTTTTTTTTTTTTAATTAATCTACTTTTTTATGTTTTAGACAACACAATAGTTGCCTTGTGCCCACAGAAAGAAGTAATTATCAAAGAAGCCCACAGAAATACACTAGAAGTAAAATCACAGGGATTTTAATCTCAACCCATGGTCAGTGATTTTCTGTCAATGGCACAAATTAAAATCAGTGTCCCCAGGACACTTCTATTCTGTTTTCAGCATCACTTTTCTGCCAAGAAAAACTATTATTTTTCTGTTAAATCTGACTAATTTCTTATTATTCCATTGCATCTACAAATTCAGATTACGCAAAATCTGCATAGCTTTGCATATATAAAACATGAAAAAGCATTTCCCAGACACAACAATACCTACATCACAGATGGCTGAATTTACCTGATTATAATGAGTCTCACAATAGGCCAGCCCCTTTTTCTCATAGTGTCGGTGCCCCAAGAATGGCTTCTCACACTTGGCACAAACAAAATGCTGTAAAATAAAAAAAAAAAACAACAATCCAACATTTCATGGCAGGCAAAACAACTTTCCCATCATCAGGTAAAAACATGGCAATAAATCCTAGCTCAATACATGACACTTGATCACAGAACAGTTTGGGTTGGAAGGGACCTTAAAGCTCATCTGATTCCAACCTGGCCTTGGACACTTTCAGGGATGGGGCAGACACAGTTTCTCTGGGCAGCCTGTGCCAGAGCTTCAGGGCCTTACAGGGAAGAATTCCTTCCCAGTCTCTAATCTAAATCTACCTCTTTTCATTTAAAGCTGTTATGTCAATGCTTTAATGAAGCACAGACAGAAAAGATCTTTATAGAAGCAAAAGAAAAAAAAAAAGGAGATATTTAGTCTATTTATAGTGATTAAGAGTTGTACTAAGGATAGGTGGAAGACCTGCTGGAAGGGCAATCATTTTGTGTCTATCCTGACAGACTTGTGGACTATTATCTTGCTTGTTTCAGGGAAGAGAAGCAGGAATATAAACAGAGTTGGTATGAATACACCTCAAATGAGCAGCAGCATGTCTCTCAGGTCAAGCCCTAGGAGGCATAAATGACTGAAACAAAGATGACTAAAGATTCAGAGCAAGTTGTGATGACTCAGCTGAAAGTTATAGAAACAATGGACTGAAAAGGCTTAAAAAGCAAGAATTGCTCAGCTTTCAGGAAAAACTCCAACACTGTTATGTGCCAAGTAACTCAAATTGGAGAGGATATATCTAAGTGCATCATATAAAATATGTACATTTATTAGTAAGTAACTGCTTTTCAGTGAGCCCTATTCTACACGGATCATTATGAATTTTAAAATTAAGTTATTACAGTTGTGAAAACAGCTGTCTTAGGAACCTGACGCCCTGCTGTAACTCATTCACTCACAAAAGGTGAAGACAATCCCAAGCATAAGCAATTGGGTTTTATCTGAATGCATATATCACAGACCCCTTGCATGTCTACAGCTTCCCAGCAGCACCAGCCCTGTTCCAGACGAGCTGCTGAGGGCAGTTTCAGGTTCAGGAGGCCTCACCTCGACGTGCCACTGCTTGCCCAGCGCGTTGACCACGCGGCCCTCGATGGGCCTGCGGCAGGCGCCGCAGATGGGGATGCCCATCTTGTCGTGGCAGGGCAGGCAGTAGAGCTCCCCCTTCAGCTCCCGCGCCTCGGCCGTCAGCTCCTTCCTGCAACACAAACCCGGCTCAGGGCACCGAGGGGAACTCTGCAGCGCCCAGGAGCAACTGCTGCAACACTAAACTCAGAGTTAACTTAGGCAACGTTCACACTACCAACACAGTCATTTCAGCTAGTGAAATACAGTTACTGTCAACTCATCTTTCTAAAATTGCTTTCTCAGATTGCCAGACAAGAAGGTCTGCAGACCATCATGTCTGCAGCTGGATACTCTCACAGACACACCAGGTGCACCCACATGGACACTCACAGTGCCATGCTAAGACTCGAGGTATCTCTGAATGGCAGAGCTCAGGTGCAAGAGCCATCCCAGCAGGGCTCAACACTGAGACATTTACTTGCACTGTTACCCATTCTGGGACAGCACTGTGCCCAGTTAAAATGCCTTCATTGCAAGTAACACAGGTCAGACAGGTATCAGCGTGGCAATGGACAGGGACACAAGACTGACACAGCCCATCAAGCCACCTTCTTTTTCAATCCAGGAATTCAAAGTGAAACTATTTTGGACAGCCTGGTAACTCCTATTTTTGGAAAACTCTACTATGATAATCTGCACACAGCCTTTCAGATAAATTCATGCCAAGGAACTATTTTCACTTTCATTATAAACTATGTTAGAATAAGAGAATATTGAATGGCAAAATAAAACTAAAATTCCTGAAGTTTTTCCAAACTCATTTCAGTTTCTCCTCACACAATTTCTACTTGCTCAACAATAACAATGTGAAGGCAGCAAAGTTTAGACCTGCACTGCTGACTCAACTGTTTGTCTCTCTCCTTTTTTGTCAGTTTACAGTATGGCAACATACCCACAGTGGGTGCAGTTGAAGTGATCTGGATGATAGGAATCATTCCTAAACATCAGAGGCTGCTCATCAATTATCAAGTGGCACTTCTGACAGATGTACTTGCCCAGTCCCTTGGCTTTTTCACGGTTGTGGCATGGCCTGCACAGGTGCCTGGTTGAACAAAGTAAAGGAAAGAAAATATTAAAAAACTCTTTCTCCTTAAACAACATATACATACTGTAGGAAGTACTTTATGTAACAGAACTGTCTGCTGAGGTGAGAATAAACATAATTAAGTTTGGTGTCCAGTTTCACAGAGAAGAATGAGTCTAAAGCAGTCACACAGTTGTATTTCCTTCAAAGACTACTCCAACATTCACTGATTTATGTGCCATCAGGGGTATCACCCAGTCATTGTTCTAGGGATTCTTTCCAACCCTCCAGATTGTTTCTGATAGCTGGGCAAGGAAAGGTGGCAACACCCACTATCTATAACTAATGGATCCAACCATAGCAGAGGCATTACAGCACTGGAAGGGAGTCAAGAAGAGAATAAAATGTATCAAACCAAAGTGCATTGCTTGAATGCCTTTTACTATGGCTGGATTCCTTAGTCTTCAATATCTAGGGAAAACAAGAGACCTCTTGTTGCCTGCAAATTCCTTTTACTCCTAAGTCACAGAAAATTAAGAACCATAGAATTTTATGTGGTAAAAGCAGCTGTATTCCTAGCACATGTTCTTGAACACATTACAAGTACACTTCCAAACAGGCAGATAACCCAAATTTATGGTGGAAAAGCTCAGGCAAAGGCATAAAAAAAACTTGTGAAGGCTGATGGAAGCCACTGGTTTTATCCCCATACTTAGGAGCTCTGAGGAGAAGCTGTTTCCTACTACTTATCCCTCTAGCTGCAACACTGTGGGCTGGGGAAGAATTCATGGTAAAAGAAAAATGACAGAGAATGATTTCTGTGGGTTGCTTTGTCCCAAAACTAACAAGTCTGCTTCATTCCTTTCACTGTATCACTACGTCAAACACTCACTGAGATTTACAAGTCATTCTCAAAACACATCAGACAAAAGACAAAGTTCAAATGGAAAGAGCAGATTTAGGGATTAAGTAGCAGGTTCTTCACAGGGTCCCTTCCAAAATTCTGCCCTGACAAATTATTTACCCTTAGATCTGTGAAATGAGGATAAGAATACAACACAGGTTGTTGTGAGGCCTCAAACATTTATGACTCTCAGCTGGCAGGTGCCTGTCTAAGTGCTAAGTATCATTATTATTCTCTCCAAATCTGAGTCCTTCTGTCAGCAAGTGTCTCTGCCCAGGGCTGGAAGCACTGTCCGCCCAGACAGAGTCCAGAAAAAGCAGACAGCACCCCATTATAAGGAAACACACAGCTGTGCTCATCCCAGCATAAAGGCATCAATTTTACTCAGCACTGTCAAATGCAGAGTAATTATACAGGGCTGGACATGGGGACCCCGAAGCTAGAGTCCTGAAAGAGACCCCTCTCATTCAGCTGAATGAAATGCCTTCAGCCATTTGCACTGATAAACCATTATCAACCCCCACCCCACTCACAAACCCTGTGCCCTCCCACAGACCCTCTCTTTTGGAAGCAAAGGGAAGTGCTGGACAGGCTAAGCTGTTACCATAGCAGCCTCCCCTCTCCCTAACCCTCTCCCCCTCCCCCTTCCCACCACTATGGAATTATCCCATTCTGAAGTGTCCTGTTGTGTCTGTTAATACTAGATTTCCCCCAAACAATGCATCTCTCCACCCTCCTAAAATAATCAGGGGACTCCAAGGATTCTGTGTTTAGGGCTGGAGGCTCAGTAGCAGCCTTCAGTAAGCACCATGAACACTGGAATATTCATGCAGGATACTCATATCTATAGCAGCAGCCCCAGTGCCAAGAGCTCAGCTGGGATGAAGACTGCTCCTCAGTGCTGGGGTGTCCTCTCCCCTGCTCCTGTGTGACTGAGCAGATAATGTGCTATCAGAGCAAGGAGGACACTATATATAGAGGGGCTCCCCTCTGCTCTCAGCAACTCTGCAACTTTGCACTCTCTTGGAATCATCTTGCTTGCTCTGCTGTTTGTAATTTGCTGTCATCAGAAGGAGTTGAGATATTTCCCAAAAGGATCCTATAATCCACCCACAGGACGGCATTGCAAAGAGGTAAGAGACCAACTTCTGTTACTAGGAGCTTTAGGAGTTTAGGAGCTTTTTTTTTTAGGAGCTTTTCTAATGGCATTAGTTTTGGCTGGTGCCAATGAGGAGCAGAACACATACTGAGGTGGATGAATATAATGGAAATGTCTGAATCTAACGATAGGGAGCATTTTCTGAACTTCAAAGAATAATTTCCTTGTCTTTATGTCACTCCTTCAAAACAAAAAAGGTTTTCAAACTTTTGTACCTAATGTATATCCATTTGTGCCAGTTGTATGGTATGTCTAGTGCTCGCTGACACTGCTTTGATGCTCACAATAACCAAGTGTTTCAGCTGAAAAGCAGGCTCAGCAGAGAGTGACTTTCAGGAGAATAACTTCAGTCAGAAAAGGACTATTTCTAATGAAGAGTACTTTGAGTGAAGGATAGGAGACACTCATTTGACAAGACACTGAAGTCATAATCATAAAAATGCACAAACCAGAAACTGCTCTAGCTGAGAGCAAGAACAGGAATTTCGGATACTTACCACAAACCCTAACATACAGGTCAGTGGGCAAACAAAAGCTCCAAACTAGTCAGGTAACTGTGTTCAATGAGCTAAAGATTTCTCCTGCTAGTTCTTTCATTAATGACAGACAGAGCATCTGCTGAAAGACTGATTGCATTATGTCCACACTGACAGCCTTGTGGATTGTTCTCTTGCCTGTTTCTGAGCACAAGAGAAACAGGGCTTGAAATATGGTCAGGGTGCATGCATGTATTTCAAATGAGCAGTGACACCCCCATTTCAGCTCAGCCCTGGGAGGCCTGGGATAATGGCTCATTCCAGAACAGTGCTCTGTTCAGCAATACGTAAATCACTAAATATTCACACAACATCACGAGTGCAGTCCAAGCAGAAATTACTGGATAATGAGCCAGACTCCTAAAGGAGTTTTCTGTCTGTGGAATGAAAGCCTCTTGCACCATACAGCTTAACACAGTCTACACATTATAGGTCATTTGTGAAGGTTTCTAGTTTGCTCTTAGCATTTATACAGACTATAGGAATCCCAGTGATTTGTTTGTAAAAATAAAAAGACTAAACACATTTATTTTAAATTTATAGGATAAACCCAAAGAAAATAGGAGTGGAATTGCAAATAACTGCAAAGGACTTTCAACAGCTTCTAAAGAAGACACTGTCAGAGAATTATTACTTTTCTAAAGTTGTGGAATTTTGTTGAAAGCATGTAAAGTCTAAAAATAAGCCCAACAATTAATTTTAGTGACATGTTGGCTTTTTTCTGAACCTACTCAAGTGCTACACCACTATTTTCACCCATTAAATACAATTACAAAAAAAACCCATTAAAGCTGTAATTAAAATTTCATTTTAACTTAAAACATAAGCAAAATTAGAAAGAGGACCACCTCCTTTTTCTATAACTTCTAACCAGACAATGAAAAACATCTCACTTCACCTTGCTCTAAAAAGTAAATTAGATAACAGCAGCTTTCCTGTGAAGGCTGTCATTTGCAACGACTGAATCTATTCCAATTTTATCATTAGTTCTAAGCCTCTCTCTTCCTGACACTGACATACTGGGCTTCCAGATAGCTCTGACATTCTCCTTTCTATTCCAGCCCACAGCATTTTGCACTGAAAGCATGTCTGTATAGAAATCCACAGCAGACTCAATGCTGCCATCAGTGAGGACAAAACTCTCAACTTTGAAGTCTTGCCCATTCTAAGTCTGGCACTGACACACAGCTGAATCTGAATTTCCAAGATCTGCCTTAGGAAAGCAATTCAAATTAATTGGTTCAGTGTATCATGCTGTTAAACTCCTAATAATCACCTTGTAAACAGGGAAAGGTCTGCTTACTCCTTCATTTTGGGAACTGATTTAAAGCATTATCAGTAAGACAAGAGCCATCCCAGTCTGTTCTATCAGACAACCCTGCTTTCTGCTTTCTCAGCTGCTCCAAGCCAGCATTTACTGCTTGCTCAGGTGTCACAACCATGGACAGAGCAATGTTTAGCCATAAGACTATCCCCAGCAGGTGTGTACACAAAGATCACCCGATTTACACCTTTTGCAGATGAAAAGCATAATTAAACAACGGGCCTGACATGAAAAAAAAAAGGGTTAATAGCTAGAACATGAAGTGATAAGCACCATCATAAATTAACAGCCAGTAAAAAGGCATGGTCTCTCTTGTTCCTCTTTTGGTATGCAACAGAAAAATACATATTTAAACTAATTCCATCCAGGGAGGACAAGTATGTGAGTCAATGTTACTATCCCATACAAACTTTAAAACCTGCAAGGCCTAAGAGTTTACTTTATAAGGGACAAATGAAGAACATAAACAAAAAATTGTGGTCTCACCTGTAAACTTGTAACCTTTATAAAAAAAAATTAGGCATTTTCTTTTTGTATGTAAAAGCACAATTTCCCAAGTATTTTTACAGATAAGAACAAAAAGGGCTGTACAGTCTTCCTTGCACATGCAATTGCAAGTAATGGCAAATTAGCAACTTGTAATAAATACTCAAATCCAGAAGAGTATCCAAGCAATGCATGAAGTAAGAAGGGCCCTCTGTGGCCCTAGGCAGAACTTCAAATTTCTGAATTTCATCCAGTCTCCCTGCTGCTGACTTTGTCTCTTCAACTGTGAACCAAACAGAAGTGATCTACCACATTAGTCTCCAGTTATTCCAGTTTTCTCTTCACCTGAAAGTAACAGCAGCCAAACTGAAGATATTAATTAACCTGGAATCTTACATTTACCAATATATTTGTTTGTCCTTAATCCCATTTCAGTTCTCTATGATCCCAATATTTTTGGGCATCTGAACAATGAATTCTGTTGGGGAGCTGGATGCATAATGGATATATTTAAAGATGTATTGAATACTATGGAGAAATGCTCAGTCAGTACAAAAGGCAAGGGTGAGCAAAGTGGAGGTGCTGCTGCACAGACTGTAACACTTCTGAGAAATCCAAGTAATAGAAACAATGCTGGAACTTCAGACCACCTGCATTTCCCTACCACCTACACCCACAGACAAGCAATGTACAAAAAGCCATGGGCAGGTGCTCAGAAAATCCTATCACGCTTCTTGTTGATGCTGTTTAGGACACTGCAAACAGAGACTGGCAAAGCTAAGACCAGTTTTGCTAAACTCCTACCTGGAAAAGGCCCTAGATAAACTACAGTGGAGCTCAGGCTTTTGAAGGATGACACACTTTGAGAGGTGACTGACAGCATGGGCATTATTTAAAATCTTCCCTGGGTCAATTCAGTGTCAAGAGAGATGTTGCTGCCTATCTAAAAAGTTTCCTTCTACATTGGAACTAGGTGCATTTGCCTTAAACACAGGACTTTAAACTAAAATAATGCTGAAAGGTTTTCAGGAACCCTGTGGATTTTTTAATAACAGCAGTGTTTGACCTGTTTTTTATCTCTTTTAAAAACAAGAGAGATATTCTAAGCTAGATCACCTTACAACAGATACCTGTGCTCAGAAAAGCTGACTCATCAGGAACTCCAAAGTCCCGAATCAGGCTTTCAAATTGAAATATGGCAAATACTTTCTAGTTAGATATACAGAACTTACTCCTACTCCTCTTAACCAGACACACAAGCATCTCACTACCTGGTCATAAAACTAACCTCAGCACAGGCCAGAGACAAGCTCATCACCAGCTAGCCAGCTCTTCACTGGGGTTCCTTCCATGGGAATCACTGCTCTGGTAAACTCAGCTGAGCAGAGGGTATTCAGAATTCTAATATAGTGTTTGAATTCAGACTGACCTGTCATATCAAAAACTGATGACAGCAAACAGGAGACATTGCTGACTTTCATGTATAGGTTTTTCATGTTTTTGTTTTGTTTTGTTTTCCACAAATCCAGGCTCTTCTGTAATATAATGTCGAATTCTTTCATATTTAGGGCTTTTTCTTCTTCAGAACTGCGGGGAAAAATGAACAGGCCTGCAGCTTCAAGCCTGCTCTTCAACTGCTCAAATCAATCAAATTTCAGTTTGGAAACATCAGAGCAATGTGGCAAAGAGACACACCTTGAGAACGTGATTTTTGCCACTTTCTACTTTCTGGACTTCATCCTGGCTTTTGCTGGCAACGCCCTGGCTCTCTGGCTTTTCATCCGGGACCAGAAGTCAGGCACGCCTGCCAACATTTTCCTGATGCACCTTGCTGTGGCTGACCTGTTCTTTGTGCTGGTACTCCCCACCCGGCTGGTGTACCATTTTTCTGGTAACCATTGGCCATTTGGTGAGATCCCATGCAGACTCACAGGTTTCCTTTTCTACCTCAACATGTATGCCAGTATCTATTTCCTGATGTGCATCAGCGTTGACCGTTTCCTGGCCATCGTGCACCCGGTGAAGTCCATCAAGCTCCGCAGGCCCCGCTATGCCCACGTGACGTGTGTATTCCTGTGGGTCATTGTTGGGGTGGCAATGGCACCTCTGCTGCTCAGTGTGCAGACTGTCCAGATGAAAAACACAACTGTGTGCCTGCAGCTCTACAGAGAAAAGGCCTCACGCCACGCCCTTGTGTCCTTAGCAGTGGCATTCACCTTCCCCTTTGTGACTACTGTGACCTGCTACCTACTCATCATCCAGAGCCTGAAGAGTGGGAACCGAGTTGAGAAACACCTGAAGGAAAAAGCTGTCAAAATGATCATCATGGTCCTGATGATCTTCCTAATTTGCTTTGTACCTTACCACGTCAATCGCTTCATTTATATTCTCCACTACAACGGGAGCAGAGCTTCCTGTGAAACGCAGCATCTGCTGGCCCTCAGCAACCGCGTCACCTCCTGCCTCACCAGCCTCAACGGGGCCTTCGACCCCATCATGTATTTTTTTGTGGCTGAGAAATTCCGTGAGGCTTTGTGCAATCTGTTCTGTATTAAGAAGACCATAAGGTTGCCTCAAACATATGAGGGTAAGACAAATGAAAGCTCACTAAGTGCTAAATCTGAACTGTGAACGTGACTCTTGTCAGTGTCAGTGCTTCATCTTAAGAACACTCTTCCACCAAAATCAGCTGAGAACACAAATCTGCAGCAAGACAGTCCAACCAGAGTCAAACTCATCCTGAAAAGAGAAGTTCTGTTGTTTTTATGGGGCTGCCATTAACAAGAACCCCTTGACCATAGAGAACACGTGTGTTTGTGTTGCTGAAACTGCAAAAAGAAGGACAGTTCTACTGGTTTCCAAGAACTGAAACTGAGGGGTGAGCACTTAGGAATAGGGAAGGGGGACAATGAGGGAAATGGACCCATGGTTTTTTTTTTTCAAAGAACTGAATTCCCAAAGCACTCAGTGCTTCCTCTGCACAATGCATACAGCCTTATTTAAAATTTCACATTGTGCCAGCAGTAGAGATCCACTCTTGAGACAGACCTGCCTGATGAAAAAATCTCCACATTTGCACATCTTGTTCAAGTTTCTCAATTCAAAGTGTTTATATGTAATAGAGAGAAAATTGGTACTAAATGGTGACAAGAAAAAAAAAAGAGCAGAATGAAGCAATACGCCCTGCCTGGACAGGAATTACGACAGAAGAGATTCCTAGCTTTATTTAAGAGATTCCTACAGTTCTTTTTTGTGACTTATTCCTTCACTACGGATAAGACTATTCTTCACTATGGATAAAGTAAGGATTATCATTATTCTCACTGATACAAATTGCATCCAGCAGAACATGCCTGGAAGTGACACACAGAACAGGTACAATGAAAAGGGGAAAAACCCCACAAATTACCAACAATATTTACTAGAAGACTGCTTCAATGCTATGGATATAAATGTTACAGGAAATCATGTGGCAGGTGAAATATATTGTTACAGAGATACACACACACCTATCTCTCTGCTATGCTTTGGGAACCAGTCCCTTACCATTTGAGATTTGACAAATTACAAAATCAAACATACTTTATCTTGCTTGAACTTTTATCCTGACTGCTTCTCCCCAAAACACCTTAAGTGCAATTCCAACAGCCCATTCTAGCAAGATGAGATGCCAAAATAAAATCAATTATGCCCAGCTCAAAAACCTAAGGCACAGAGATTGCATGTAGTATGAAAAATAAGAGGGAAGTGAAAAGACTCCCTGGACAGATACAAGTATATGACCTTTTCTTCCATCCTTCACCACTTAGTTAGTGAAAATATAAACTCTAGGAAACTACTAGGCTTTGCTCATAACATATGAAAGCCTAAAATTAACTCTGAATTGTGCAACACTGTCTGCTAACTGCTGGACTGTTTTATTTTCTTATAATGGTATGCTTTTGTATAAGCTCTTTTGTGTTTTTATTTCTTATTTCTGAATTAAATGCATTAATTGACCTGTAGGATTCATTGTGTATTTCTGCATTTAAAATAAATGATTTCTGAAGACCAGTGGAATCACAGGCTGAAAAGACTTTGCTGTAATCATTGTGTTGTTCTTTTGGCCTTTTGCTACATCTTGATTTCCTGCTCAGCAGCTTACTTGATGAACAGCCTGCCTGAGATCACCTAATCCCTTTTTTTCAGTTACTATGCAGCCTTCTGCCTGAAATTCCTTTCTTTTCCAGAATGCATTCACTAGCCACTAAAATTTGAGTTTCTACTGGAAACAAGAACATGTTTCATTGGATGAAGAACTTCTCACCTAACAAGTTATTCCTAAACTTTCTTCTGTACCTTTTCAAGCTTTCCTTCTCAGTGTAAAACTAACTGACCACCCTGGGCAGCTCATAGCTGCATCAATAACACAATGATAACTTTCTGTCCTCCTGCTCCCTCTTACCTGCCAGCATTCTTCACAAAACCCAGGTCAGCAAGGGTCACATCGCAGAGCTCACAGCGGAAACATTCTGGGTGCCAGTTGTTGTTCATTGCCTTGATAACACGCCCAGTAATGAACTCACCTGCAAAAGGAAACCATGAGATCCATGCAGAAAACAGTCTAATCAAAATCTACTGTCCTTCACAGTCCTTCCACTTTAATTCCATAACTACTATTACAGTCTAACTTTGAAAAAAAACCCAAAAATTATTCCCACAACCAGAATAGCCCAAAATCACTGCTGGTATCATGCTTTGTTCTCACCCAGAGTTCCTGACTCCTTAAAGCAACCCCAACAACCTCAGCCCAAGGGACTGGATGTCCCAGCAATGCTGCAAGGTTTGCACAGCCCTGCAGTTGTTAAGCCCTGGTTGATATTTGCCATTTCTTACCACATTCTCCGCAGCAAGGAGCAAACAGCATCTGGAAGTCATGCTCACAGTACTTCCTACCTTCAAACTGCAAACAAAACAAGAGAGAAGGAGTCCTCATGAATAACTGAACTACTTTTACATCTTGACAGTGCAGCACGATTTTCCATTGATATGACCATTTAATCAAGGTCACATTTTCCAGTTCTAGCCCCTATACACCTGTTTTTCAACTCTTAAAGGTTCTCATTCAAGAAATATCCACATATGGCTTCAGCCTCATGGTGAATTTGCACAGCTAAATTAATAGCAATGCTGCTAGAGTACAGTAAAAATCCTGAAGAATACCCCAAAATCCTTTCATTATAGCTGCGTTTAATTTCATTTTTGCTTTAGTTTAGTTCAGAACTACTGTTCCTCCTACATGAGGCTAAAACTCATGCCAAAATAAAATACATCAAGTTTAAACCAATGTGTTATTCAAAATGTGTGCTTGTGCATATTCTGTAAAAGAACTTAATCTAGCTTTTAAATGGGTTCACTTATTGCAGTTGCCCAACTGGAACAGTTCAGTACAATATGTCTAAAAATAAAGACAGAAAAATCACTTTTGTCTAATGAAATATTAAGGCCAGGTGGGACAGTGCTTTGAGCAACCTGGTCCAGAGGAAAGTGGTCCTGCATTATGATTTGTAAGGTCCCTTCCAACCCAAACCATTTTGTGATTTTGTGATGATTAACAAAACACTTTTTATTTTCTTTTTGAAATGTGTGTTACCCAAAGAGCAGCTTTTGCTGTGAGAAGAAAAAAAAGGGAGATTAAGTTGGAAGCTCCTCCAAAAAATGGCGACAAATATTTAGGGCTAAGAAATTAAACATGCAAGAAAGCTGAGAATTCCTTGCACTTTACCAGAGCTATTTCTCCTCTCTTCCAAGCAGTGTGGGAACTCACCTCATAGAAGAGTCCCTCTGGGAACTGCCGGAAGCACTGGGCACAGACAAAGCAGCTCTCGTGGTACAGCTCCCCATTGCTGTTCACGATCCTCTCGGCAGGGTCGAAGCGCGCCTGGCAGCGCTCGCACACGGCGTTCGCCAGAGCATCAGACATGTTACTGCAATAAAGGCAAGAGCAAGAGCACTTACCAACACAACATTCCAGCTGCTTTAAACTCCCTTTTGCAACAAAAAACAAAAAGATCAATGAGTCACTGACATCAGTTAGAAATAAGGTTCTGACAACTCATATGCGGCAGCTGAGGTCAAGTAACAGATGTACCTATTGCACACTTTTGGCTACTTCACCAAAGTTTCACCCCATTACATCATACTGCTAACAGCTCATAGCAAATACCCACTATGTTTCACAAATCATCAGTCTGGAGAGCAGCAAACCCAATGATCCTGACTTCTTGGGCCTTCAGGTCTCAGGGTATGGATTTTCTGATGTGGAGTAAGCACTGATATCCCACTGCCCTCTCCCCTTCACTGTCAGCAGTAACAAACCATTTCCCCCTCTACAGGCCCCTGTCCTCCTGACAAATTAGTTCAAACTGTCCAAGTGTTACAATGCTATGGGCAGGGAGAAGTCCCTCTAGCTGGCCTGGCCAACACCTCAGCTTCATTTCCTCAGAACATGAGGCAAGCCCCCCCCTCACCAAGCCACACTTATAAATCACATAACATTTCCTCGACCTACCGTAGAATAAGGAATCACCCTAATCTCTTCCACAAAGTTCTCATGCTTGCCAGCATGCTAATGTAAGTTAATGCAGTTTTAAAATGTATAGCACATGTGCAAAGCAGGAGGGAAAAATTATCAGGTATATCTCACTTTCTTGTTGCAGTGTGATTTTCCTTTTAACCACCAGACTATCCAACAGTGTAAAACCTCAATATTACTACATGTTTAGTTATAGAAAAATTGTTTTATGCCTTCTGGACACCTTTTGATTTCCATGATTGGAAAAACTGCAATTTTATAGGTAGAAGTATAAAAAATTGCTACCACGTTAAAAAAATCTCCAAACTACGTCTATGGTACTTTCCTGAGGTAGGTAATACATGCATAAAATGAAAGACAGCTTGCTTTATAGGCTTTTTTCTTTCTTTTTAGATTCAAAGGTACTCTGAACTGATTTTCCACTGTTAATGTTACTCAACAACCCAACATGCTACTTTCCCCACCTCCTCATGGAGAACAGTAATTCAAGAAGCTTTTCCAGGAGCAGATTCTCTTTGCTCTGGTCAGAGATGTGCCCTCCAAACCAGGCCAGTGTCTGTATTCCAGGGCTTCATGTCCTGAGCACAACTGGAATGAGCAGGGAGCAGCCTCACACTCCTGGGGCAGCACAACCAGCCCTGACTCCAGCTGCCTGAGCTGAGCCAAGTGTCTCTCCTCTGCAGAGGGGACACCCAGGGCACATCCTGGGCTGTGACCTAGAGCCACCCCTCAGTAAAACCAGACTGACTTTCTATGCTGCAGTTCCAAGGGAGGCAAAAACCAAGACAGACCCCAATAGTTTAAAAAATTTGTTACAACTTGTTTCCTTCTTGCAGTACAAAGGATATGTAAAAAAACAGACATAGACTGGAATTAGTGACAAGAGGAAATCCTGTAATTTCATAAACTAGAGATTATAGGTTAAAGAAATATTTTTTATCCTGACACAGTACCAAGGGAATGGGTCAACACAAAAACATCAGTGTTTGCAGCAAGGGCATCACCTAATCAGCTTGGTTTTCAGTCATCACTCTTCCAGCTACACCACACAAATCTGTACCAGGACTTGAAAATATAATCTTTCCTTCAAGTACTTCTTCTCTGTTGAAAAACTCAGTTCCTAAATTCCAAGACTTGAGCTAGCCTACAGCCAAGATTAATAAAGACTAATGTCATCATAGTGAAAAATCTCCTCTAGGAGAAAAAACAGGCAAACCAGCAAGTATTACACTTTAGATACTAACAGCAAAGCAATATCTTGTGTTTGTTGGGTTTTTTCCTTTATAAACGTGAATTCAACATTTTAAAAAACCCCAAATTTTCTTTCTTTTTTTCTTTCCCCAAAGGGACACACCAGTGCCAGTATCAACATGCAGGGAGAACTCCGCTAGAGCAGCCACCTCTACAATGGCATTTCACAACAACTCAAGCCTGCAACCTGCATGAAATGCACTGCAGCTGTGACACTGCACACCAGCCACCCCAGGAGGGATTCCCACACAAGTCCCACCACTGTCTTGGTAACAAAGATAATGGTGACACAGGGACTCCCCTGATGTTGATGCTGCTCCTGACAAGACTTCCTCAAAAGCATAAGAAAGATGATAATGATACAGTCTGAGCTGTCCACCCAAATGACCTAATGAGTGTGACTCATTATGCAGAGGAGAGAAACTATTAATCCAGGAAAATATAAATGAAAGAACCAGTACAAAAAAATAACAACTCAATTCTCTGCCTCAGCTGAACCCTTTGGGAAGAGCCAGACTACAGGAGTCAAGTGAACCACATCAGCTCCTGACCAATGTACCTCCTGTAATGCAAACCAGCAGCTGTGGCTTTCTGACAATCCACACCAAGAGTTTTGCATCCTTGCTCTTTTTCCATTTTTAACTCTGCATCGGTTTTCACTTATGACATTGTATTGTTTTGCACTCAAGCCACAATTTGCCACTTCAGCATTGCCCTAAAGATATGACTTTGCATTTATTCAAAGGTTTTACTTCAACATTTGCCAATTTCTTAATTTCCCCTGAGTACACGCCCCTGCATGCCCTCTTGTTTATACAAAACCAAGCATTTTTTCAACTAGCTCAAGGTTAAAATTAACCAAAGCTGGAAGGAAGAGGGAGCACCTTGCTAATTCACAGCATTTTTATGGTTCAGTTTACTACACTGCTGCAAAAGCACTTCTGCTGGCAGCACGGGGAAAGGAACAGTAACACCACAACCATCCTTTTGAAAAGTTTGACCTGCTGTGCCACTCATCAGATATCTACACCCAAATCTTTCCCACAAAGGACAGTCCCCAATATAAAGTGCTTCTTCTATTCTGTTTGCTCATTGATTTTTTGCTATTCAGTAAAGAATCCTCCTCTGTTTTAACAATAAACTGGTGACACAAAGACAGGAAAGGCTGTTAAAACACAATGAGATCAGCATCCTGAAATTATCCTGTCCTGCACAAACCCAAAAAATACCAGCATTGAAACAATGCTTTTCCCAATCTTTCATCAGTATGTGCTGTATCTTTAACAGATTATCTTTGACAAAGTACCTGATTTACAGAAATTATGTTTTTACCATTATAACTAGGTTTCTCGTGCTTTGACTTCTCAGAAGTATTTACTCTAAAGTACCAGCATAGGTCTTGAACGGAAAAAAAAAAAAAAAAGAAACAAAAAAGAGAAACAAAAGTTCCTTCTTTACAGAAATATTTGAAAGCATTTTACCTCCTTCTATCAGTGGAGTCAATACTACCTCTCTTTGAAAACATTTCTTCACAGGGATTTACCACTGGTGACAGGTTAAGGAAAAAGAAGCAAATATAATAATCCCACTGCTAAGAGATCAGAAGAGGAGCTCCAGCCTTCACCATCACACTTGCAGATTTCATTATTTTAAATGTGGCTACAAGACAAAATGAACCAGACATTGGACAATCAGAAGAACAGACGAACAGCCTCAGATTTTGCCTCAGGAGGAAAGGAACTGTAGGAGTGAGGAGTGCTTCTGTCAGAAAAGCCCAGTCAAAAAAAGTTTTCTTTAATTGCTTTCAAAAGTTTTTTGACTTTAGTGTCACACAGAGTTCTTCTTCATCACAATGCTGAATGAAGAATTGTTTAATAGTGACCCAAAACCTTGCAGATACAAAAAGAAAGCAAGGCAATACTTGGAGACACAAGAACCCAGGGCATTATCCAAACCTCGGCAGAGAGCAAAACCTATGCTAGGGAACCCTAAAAATGTGTTTTCTGCTCATTCTGGTCTACCAGTAGGAGCAAGTGTATACAGAAAATATCACAACATGATTACATTTCTGGGATGTATGCACAGACAGATATGATGAACTGGAAGAGCTACCACCACTTGTTTGTGTCACAGCAGCCAAGACAAAAATGAGAGCGCTCCAGGAGAAGGGCTGGTTCCCACTCCCACAGCACAGCTGAGAATTACTGACTTAAAGCCTCAATGTTGCCAAAGATACAAACGAAATCTGCTGGGACAATACCAGACTTTTTGATTAATTTCACAGATAATGACTAATGCAAAGAACAAAAGAAAGAGGAAGGGTGTCAGTTCATGAACTAGGGCTGAAAAACAGCCCCCAGCTATCCTTATCATTCCAAAAACCTCTCTGCAATGGACTTATCTGGACAACTTTCCCAAACTGAATCAACTTCTTTAGTATGCTTATTATTAAACTTGTCATAAAATGTTGGAAAAAGATATTTCCCATTTGTTTAATGCATGATTTGTTGTGCATTTGGTAAACTACATGCATAGCTTAACATTTTCAGCCTTTCTCCTTATGCTTGCATTGAATTTTCAGTTCATGCTAAATACTTTTTCACTGACTAAATAAGAAATGAATAGTGTTTCTCTCAGTGTATCTTCCTTGATCATGCAACCCCCAAACTCTGTGAAATAAACATTTTTCTTTCTTACTTAGAACACAGGGATAACCAAAATTAAGAAAAACATACAAAGGCAACTTATGGTCACAATATGGGAAAAAACCAATGTCTCCTTGGGCCTACCAGCAACAGCAATTTGCAACTGAGTAGAAACTGGAGGGGTTAAAAAATAAAATTGCACATATTGCAGCTGAGGCCAGAGTACAAGGTCTGTATGGCTAACCTGCAGGAAGCTGCAATCAGGCAGACTTTTGAGACCAGCAGCAACAAAAAATCTCTTGGTATTCACACAGAAAAAAGTCCTATGCCCTGGATACTTGGTAGTCCCTCTCAACATCAGGACATACTTATTACCAGTAAATGATGACCAATTACTTGTAAAAACACACAGTTAGCAGTGTTCACTCAGCCCAGGTAAATATCAACATAAAGAAACATACAGGTTTTAAATTGAATATTCCTCTTGCACAGGAAA